CCAGCATCTGTAGCCCCACAGCCTACACTGCACTCTGGGTAACGTATAGGCTTTCAGCACCCACAGAGCTGAGGCAATCTCATTATCTGGAAATCCTTTAAAAAGATAGCAGTGGGTTAACGTAATGATGTGAGGTACTTGTCACAGGATTCAGCGCAGCCAGGAGTATAGTATATTTGCAGCCCACTGGTATTTGAATTGTTGAGTCGCTCCTTGGTGGACCATTAAAATCAGTCCGACAAAATCTCAGGAAGAGGGTGAAATAAGAAATGGATTAAATAAACGACCACAGCCATCTTGGGAATTTGAGTCCGGAATGTTTTCATTTTCTCCGACTGAGGACTGCTTCACTAATTGGGTTATGTGGGCTTAGCGAGGAAGTTGTCAAGCTTCAGGGGTTTTTATTTGTGCCTGGCCGTCAAATCACAGCCCAGGGTAGTGACCCTCGAGGCGATGCCCCCATGAGGCCCTTTAAGGTACAGCTGTCTGATGAGTCAGTCCAGAAGCCCCACTTTCCCAGAAAATCCCAGGTTCTGAGGTGATAGGGTGACAGAAGGCAAGAGGCCACACAGCTTTGTATTATGGGAGGCTTTCACTGCCCCTTAGGTCGGCTTAGCGGCTGCTGAGGAGGAGTAGCAGCTTCACTCAGTACGTTACACTCAACTTTAAAGGACAAAAAAAAGAAAGCAAGCCGATGACAGTGCTGTGGATGATGCACTCTGTGGGCATCAGTGCGTACAGAAACACACACCTGCATGCAGCCACACATTTTGAAACTGTATGTGACTGTAATGTGTTATCCTGGAACAAGTGCTTCCTGTGATGAAGACGGAAATTGCTTGATATTTTTGTCTAGTTAGCTTCCTGTTTGTTCATTAGGGACAGGTTTTCTCTCACCAGTATTGCCACTAAGCTGCTGCACTTTAGCTGACCATGCTACATTTGCTGTGAGGAAAGTGTTTGCGTTTGAGCTTGAAAATTTAATGAGTCAAAAAGTAGTAATATGGTGTGACGTTGATTTTTCCTGGCAATTTTGAGCAAAGTCTGTAACACTGCTATAATTACTAGGCCACCCTGCCGGCCCAGATGTTGGGAGTTTACCAGATGTGGTCCACCTGCTGGGATGAGGACTATGACTTATGACCAGCAGGTCAGAACAACTTTCTTCTTGTCCCTTGTCTCACACAGAGAGATCAGCCGACGGATATCAGACACTGCTACTAATGACATACAAACATGTGACACAGCGGGTGTGCCTGCATCTGTTTGTGCAATTAATGATTAATAATCTAGCATTCATTTCATTTAAAAAATACTACATTAAAAAAAGATTTAAGATGACAGATATGGAGTGTCATATTTAGAGCACTGCTCAATCAAACTTTCCCAGCTTCCCAAATGTAATTATTTTATTTTGAACCATAATTGCAGTATCACGTGGGTTTGCCAATTGAGGAGAACATGCCAAGACAAAGAAATCCTATTTAAAGAATGTGAAATAGTTCACACCGTTCATGAAATGCAGGGTGGTGTCCATACAAATGTGCGTTTATGCCTATCCATGCATATATGTGGCAGTAAGTGTGAGCGTGTGTGTGTGTGTGTGTGTGTGTGTAAAGGCAGCTACGGTGGTGGTGGCTTCCTGGGGAATTTAAATTAATGAGTGTAATCAGAAGCAAACAGCAAGCCAGGCAGAGCAATTAATACAAGCAAGGCGAGCAGAGCTGCCGGTTTGCTCGGCCAGGCATGGTTGCAGCCGAAGAGATGGAGGATTAAGATGCAACCACAGACAAACTGCACAGCTTTTCCACACACAGCAGATGTCCACGGAGGGAAGGCGCTGGGAGCCTGGCATCCAACAACCGGCCACTCGGTCAGCCCGGCCCAATGCAAGCTGACAACCTCCTGGCAACATTCTGATAACACCATCTTCTCTGTTTAGCTCGAGAGCCAAGGGAAGGCCCTCGTCGGGGGGCCCTGCACTGCATACGAAAGGGACTCAGTGCAAAGCTGCACAGTGGAGCCACTATGTGTGAGAGAGAGAGAGAGGAACATAAAGAGATAAAAAAGAGAGATGGGGGGAGGGCATTGTGTGCAAGCTCAACTCAAGTACATCTCAATGTGAGGGACATGTTTGTTACCCCTGTGTTCCCTCCATGTTTTTCTGATTGAAACATCCTTGGCTGCATGCATTCCCTCAAACATGCATATTTGCTTGAGTATAAATAAACACATTGGACCCAGCTGCCTTCAGAAACGGCTCTGCTTGTTGTTTTCTTTAATTGACGCTAAACGAGAGTGTCACCAGCCCAGGATCTTTTCACTCAGCCCCTTACTTTGTTGCCTTGAATGGCGTTTGTTCCCTCAGCGGTCTCGCATTTCCAATGTTTACGTGAGATAATGATGCATGTGTAAGGATACACCGCCAGGCCAAGAGAGGGGCCGATACGAACTGTGACGGCTGCCTCGGCGGTCCAAACCAATTTGTGTTGAAACGGAACAATGATGTCAGCTCAGACATTGGGGGATGTAATGAAGAGTGATGCTCTGTGATGCACATAGAAAGTAAAGGCTCGGGCGCTCCTCCAACATGAGGCCAAACCTGATTCTACAGATGCCATAATGTTGTTGAACTCATTACCGCTGTGTGTAATGTCCTTAAAATGTAAATTGCACTACTTTGCTTGCATCTGGAGTTGAAGTAGACCTTTCCAGGAAATGACCACTACTTTGTGGCAGGAAGGGACACATTTTTGTGATGTAATGTCTTTCGCTTTGGGTATTCATATATTAGATATGGGCACACTCAAAACATCAATACAGTTGTTAAAAGACCAATTGAAAATGTAAGGGTAATTAACTTGTGTATAAGTACAGCAGTAGAGCAATTCAAATCTCAATAGAACGTCCAATAGGCCTCCAGAACTCAAACAAAAAGTGAAATCGTAACTCCTCCTCAGCAAATGAGATGCGTTAGGTTGGAGGATTGTGGATTGTGACCTCATTCCCTCCTCCTAGAGTTATGTGATTGTTTCTGTGCAGTTTTAGTGTGTACTGGTTTATGAAACACTGCTGGGTTGGAGGGCAAGTCCAAGAAAGTGACAAAACAACTCTGTCAAACTTTGGTTGAATTTTCCTCCAACATGTTTTGTCAGCAGGAGAAATATCATCGCCTATTGATTGAGTCGGTTCCTATTCATAAATCCTGTTCTTTATTGTCCAGAGAGAGAGCAGACTGCAAAGAGCATTGTGGTAAAATTGTCTCTAAAACCTTCACAGGTATCGATAAATTACTGACACTTCAATAACTTATGAAATACGTGCTTCTTGTGCTCATGAAAGGCAACAGTTTAACATGTCCCTCTTTTAGAACCCCATTACTTTAATGGAGGACAATTCAAACTTGAACAATTTACAGTTTCCCTCATGGCAGTGGCCAGCAAAGAAATTGCCTGGTAACATCAGCTCACTCAGATTGCTCTGAGGAATTGATGAGTTTCCTCACGTAATGGTGTTAAATGGATTTTTACCCCCCACTCTTCTTTTGGCCAGGGATCAAAGTCTTTCTTCTCTCTGGCGTGGCTTGTCTGCCCTCTTCTGGCCTCAAGTTGTCATGAGGTCAAGTCACATTGACACATCACTGAGCAAAAGAAAATAAATATTAACATTGTATATGAATATGTCACATTTCAAATGACATGGTAAAAGAGTACATAAGGACGTTACATACCTCAAACAAACCCATATGGGCAAATTTATATAGTATCAAGCTAGTAATATATATAAATCTACCCATTCTTGCAGGCAATTTGGGATCATTTCTAAAAATTAATAAACAGATGAACTGATTCTCATTCTGCATAAAACCACTTCAAGGACTCCTTGAACTTCCTGAGAGCCTGGGTGCCCCACTTAAAGAATTACTGCTGTAGACATAAAAAATAAAACACTCTGGCATTAATGGATCTGTAAAGCCATCAGATTGTCAGAGAGAGAGAAAAATGGCCGTACCATGAAGTGTTTAATAAAGTAATCTTTGATAACTAATGACACTGTTTCTAAGAGCAGACCAAACATCCAATCAGTCACAATAAAAGTATAAAGTGGGGGGAAAAAACGGATTGACAATTAAGGCAGCAGACTCCATGGTTCACCACCCATAAGCTATTTCAAAGAGCCACGGATCTAAGTTTTAGCATGATCTTTATGACAAACACACTTCCCTATTAGAGGACAGGAAAGAAAAAGAAGAAAAATAAAAAAGCTCTCCACTCAGACGCCACTGCAGCGGTATTTTAGAACCCGTGCGTAGGGGCTGCGCCCGTGGCTAAACCACTTATTAAAACGCAGAGAAGCCAAGTGCCATAAAGACAGAAGGCGAGCAGCTTGTTATTATTCTTTCTGAGAGGTGAACAGGCTGAGATCAATGGCTGCAGTGGTTTCCCTTCACCACAACTATGGCACAGTAAAGCACAAAGAGCCACGTGGCTCCAACCCATACAGTCACAGATATTAACTATTCCAGGGGCCTTTGAAAACAGCTGCCAAGAATAATTTCCCACATGTAACATTTCCCACCAAAGCCACAGAGTCATACTGGCATAATCTGTGCCCCACCAGACCCTGGTGGGGCAAAATGTGCCCTGACTACTATGACAGAGTATCAACGGAAAATCTGATCCAATTTATGAGTAAGGAGTCCATTTGAAGCTTGTGAAATGTATTGTACATTATTTAGTTTTGTACAATTAATGGGGCATAAACCATATAGCAAGTGAAATGTGGCTAAAAATACCAGTGACTGAGAGAGAAAAAGCTGCTATGGGGATAAAGTGCTTTTTTTATTATTAAAGCTGGTGGAGTCTGTGAAGGCCTCACATCAGTTGTTGCTTGGCTGTTTTATAGTACACTGAGGTACCGTGTTAATGATGAACAGGTTGAATCCACGCAGTGAGGAGGACGGACCTGCTGTTGTTTCCACTTCTCAAAACGGCTAAGATTTAGCCGTTTTGAGAAGGGCTGGACAAATACTGTACATCTGCATGTCATGTGTCATTTTGGTTTGTAAAGAATAAAATGGAGGTTTATTTCCTGAGCACAGTTAGTGAAATTGTTAATTTTTGTATTAGATGTTTGACCACCCAGAGTTCACGTGTGGTGTGGGAGGCTTTCAGTCGGTAACGACACCTGCAATGAAACCTATAAAGCATGGAGATGGTCAAAGTTAGAGATATTGAATACTTGCACAAAAGGCGATGATATGTGTACACAATGTACACATGCTTGCCCTCTGCTGGTGTATGAGTGGTGAAAGTCACAGAAATGAAACGTAAGTGGGACAAAAATGCATTCTACTCATACATTCTCACTCACTATGAACATCAGAAAAAAAAATATTTATAGTAAAACACCACGATGAATGATGAAAAGCAGGGAATTTGTCAGAAATAAAAAGGGATCTGTTCATCTCGAGAATATTTTGGTGAATGACGTGATTATACCAATTTTCTTGGGCATTCAAAACAGCTCTGAGCCATGGGACTGCACAGCATCTGGTCCTCATGATCATTGAATGAATTCAGTGTGATCCTTGTTCTGTTTTGGTTGAGGCCAAATGAGACTTACATCCATCATGCAAATGTGGCGCAAAATAGAGCACACAGGAAACAAATAAGCACTTAACCACTAGGCTGTTATCCTCCCCCACAGCTGTGCTATCAACATGTGAAATGTTATGAGAATGATACTCTATATTGAGGCAGCTATTCTACACTACTGCTGGGAATCACTGATAACTCACATTTATGTCACAACATTTTGCCAACAATAATGGCAGTGCTGCAACAAAAGGGATTCAGAAACGGTCACCATCAAGGAAACATCACAAAATTGTCTATTCAACTGAAAAGATTTTTTTGAAATGGCAAATTTACACCAAAGGTGTGGTTGAAGATTGCAACCAACTAACTAACCCTTCACTCAGCCCTCACTTTGGGACTACTTTAGGACCGATGGCGGTCAGACGGCAGCGTGTTGACAAGCGTGTTGGAGAACTACGGTGGCCTTCAGGTTAAAAACAGCCAGTGCTTAGTTAGTCCATTCTGGGCTACTGTGGTGCAACACGGTGGACTCTGTGAAGAGGACGATACAAAGGGCCCATTTTAGTTAAACAAAACAAAAACTTTAACTAAAGATTCTTAGTTTCAGGTGATTATTCACTAATGAAAACATTAGATCCATTAGATAGATATAGCAAATTACATATCTGTTAATGGGTTGAAATGCTACACACTGGCTCTTTAAGCCCCAGTATTTAAATGTATGAAAGCTATACCCTTGAATAAAATGAGAGAAAGAACAACTCAAATTCTAAAAGCTGATGTATTGAAAGTATATCACATTAGAGATATTGTGATATTATTTGCTGCAACTACAGCCATGAGGGTAGACCGGAGCTCTGACGCCATGGGGCCAACCAGGAGCTCCTCCATCTGTTCACTGCTCAGATATTTCACATTGAGATATTCCCACAACAGACCTTTGCATGATTACGTTCAGTTTGTGAGCTTGTTTGACACAATACTAATCAGTCACATCTGTAAACATTGTGGGTTGACTTTTACCCATCCCATGAAAGCAGAGCGATCTCAGATTATGTTCAAAATTGTAATTGACTTTGTGGTGTCACAAGAAAACACACAATATTTATTCTGTTTGCGAGTAGTGAACTTGTCATAACAGAGCACAAGTACACACATACGTTAATATAATATGTATATGATACATATTTACAAAACCACATCCACATTTACATTCTTATGTAAGACACAGGATGCAAAAGAAAAACTTTGCATCAAGGTACAGAATATTTTAAGCAAAATATTCCCACAACAGGAAGCAGCTGAGACTTTTCTGGAAAGTAGAAAACAATAAGGGAACCTTTTCTCAAGCTTTGTCATTTCTTTATGCTACATCAGTTAAGTGCAAATATATTTTAGACCTCCACCCACCTGTACATCTTGATACACTAAAAAACAAGGTAGGAGAGTAGTTTGTCCAGTACAAGTTGCCAGGTCCTGATCTCTGAAAACAACTCCCTGGATAAACGTGTTTGGGCAAGTTAGATGAGTAAGGAGAGAGCATACTCAGTCAAACATTCTCTGGGTAAATAGTGTTATCAACTGCATAGAAGCTGCAATTCTGTTGAGTTGTAACTCAAGGCAGGCGCTACCATCTCTGTCCCGCCCAGAGCATCCTGCCCTCTGATCTTCAGGTTGACAAACTTGATCTTCCAGCTGTTTTTCTCCAGTGGGGAGCTGACCAGGCCAAAGATTTGCTCAAAAATGCCCAGACAGGCTTTGTCTCTGTGGATGGTCCCAGCTACAGCCACCAGTACCAGGCCGTGTGGGGAGGCCAACGTCCTGAGGCCATGAGGCTGCAGATTGGGACTGAGGAGGAGGCGCTCATCCCTGGTCAAGGCCAGCAGACGAAGGCTAACCAGTTCAGCCCCCAGGAAAACCTCCATCTGTTCGCTGCCAACTCTGAGAAAGAGAGACGTAAACAAGTTCAAGCCCACATGTGTACACATGTTCTTATCCCATCTTTCAAATTATTCTGAATGCATTTTTGTTTGCAGAACAATTTGACAATTGGTGCAGCCAAGTCCTGCCCCAGTTACATAACTGATGCAAAAAACAGAAAAGCCAACAACCACACATCACCAGCAGCATCATTTCAATCCCTTTACTGTTAATGGCATTCTTACCTGGAGAGGAGGCGTAGCTTCACATCTGGCCAGAAGTGTTGCGGTCCCCAGTCCTGCGGCGGCTGGCCCAGCGAGGGGTTGTGACTGTTTAAGAGTTGGAAGAACCACTGGCAGAACTGCTGGCCAAGTACAAGTGGGTCAAAGCTCACCTCAGCCTTCACCTCTGTGGACACCGTCCCTGTGGTCGGTCCCCGTCTGGTCTCATCCGTCTGTCCAGGAAGGCTTTCGTCAGCCTTAAAGAAATGAGAAGTTGTTGATATACTCAAATACATTGTCAAATCATGCCTTGGTTACATGCTGTCAACACCTCATTATTGACATCCCAATGAAGTACCACCATCTTACCTAAACAATACCTCCAATTATTCAACCATGTCAACATATAACTGATGGCTGACCCGCCGGCCTCCTGTCCCTACCTTCCCAGGCGACCACAGCTCCAACGTCCTTTTCACCAGCTGGTGTTTCTCGCTGTTCGGGGGCATCAGCACACCCTCTTTGGCCAGGTACTTGAATACGAGGTCGCGATGAACCTTCTTCCTTTTCAGGAGCTCCTCGGCATTTTTAGTGAAGGAGAGGATTGTTTCCATGGCCTCTATATAAACAGATGGACATACTATATCCTTTAGGCAGATGTGATATTATGAAAAATAGTATGCTATTTAACTTGCTCCTCGCTAACTTGTAAAGATTGAAAGCATACGATACCTGTAACATTTTCCACAACTATCATCTTATTCGTGACTGTGTCGCTGAGTGAGAGTAAGTGGCTTGTTGACATTAACTTCAGTATCTTTGTACATCCAGCGCGCTCTGTTTCTGACAGGCCTGACATTTTTGACACCGCAAAACTAAAAATTCCCTCTTCGTTCCAAAGATCGTCCATTCGCGTCCTACTAGAAATGTTTCCGTGTAGGAACATGCATTAGTAGCAAAACATTCCGCACGAAACCTTCGCTATATCCGGCAAGACTTGAAGCTGCATTTATGCTATAGGAATTAATAGGGTCGCTAGATGAAATACACACGAATGACCACCTTTTACCTATAAATTGCAATACATGTATGTGTTACCAATACACTATTTGTAAGGGAACAAGCTACAAACGTTTAGTATCACCTTTTTAGGGATTCAAGGATCATGTAGTGCATTTTTTGAATTTGCAGCGTGAGGAATGTAAACAACAGCAACAAATCGCTGGTGAATTCAAATAATAATATAGTAAAAACAATAATGAAAATATAAAAATTGATAGACAGATTACAGAGGAAATAATCATGATTGTGCTTTGAAATGATAATAGAGATTAATGGCTGTTAAGTGCGTTTTTACGAGGAGCACTTGAAGGCATCATGAGACAAGACAGCTAGCTAGCTAGCTTAACTAAAGCAGAAATCCATGGCTAGCATGCGCAATGAGGATGTACTGCCAGTGCTGCTGGGTAATTTACCTGCAAGATAAGCGACCTCTCAGCTGGCGTTACACATAACTTATTCATCAACAAATATGTTTTGATCAACAGGACTGAGGGGGAGCTGCTGTGCGATTTGGAATTGTAACGTTACTGCCGAATTAAAGCAAGGGAATCCATCGCTGAAAGGTAACGTACTGTTATTTATCTTTAGTAATTTATCTTTAGTAAAGGTCATTAGGTACCCTATAAGAGCATTGAGACCCTAAACCAAGGTGACGGCTTGATCCTCATCCGTAAATAGTTGAGTCACAAGGTTTGTTAGATATGTTAATGCAGAACGTGGGACTGGACGGTGAATTAGTAGGAAAATATGTGTTGGTGTTGGCTTTGATGGTGTTGCATTCTCTCCCTAGGCAAGTTATCACTTGCTAATGTAGCCACAGTAGCTTCTTAACGTCATCCCACAGTTTAGCTTGTATACGGTTAACGTTAAATAGTGCTACTCGTATGTCACTGAACGAGTTGATAAAGTAACTGATTTTGTAATTGTTGGTGTTTTTTTGTCTTGTATATTGCTGTTTAGTTATTGCAACAATCATACAATGTTATTCTGTTGCCGAACTCCATAAATAACTATATAAATAACTTTGGGAATCTTTGAGAAAATTAAACTAACAACTTTTTCTAAAATAATAAGTGCCAGTCTACAATTTGGTATTCTCCCACAACCTTAAAGTGGCATAAAGATTATTATTTTTTACTGCTTGTTTTATCCACCATAACATTTTGAAAGACGTTATTATTACTATCATATGACTTGAATGTAATTGCAAGAGGAAAACAGTAACGTAGTAAAGCTAAACTATTTTAAAACTGTGTTGTGAAGTCGGTGCTCCTGAATTGTAATATACTCTCTGTAACTGCACGAACTAACGTTGGTGTTACTCCATTATGGACGGCTACATTATTGAGAAATCAGAACAACTTTGTACCTTGACCTACTTGTATCAACATGAGGTGTGGTTTGATTCAGCCCTTGACTAATGTTGACTGACTGGCTGGCCTTTTGCTGTGTCACAACGAATGAGGAACTGCTATTGTCTGACTTCATACAAAATCACTTACTAACATTTCACATAACTTAGTCGGCTTTCAACACAAGGAAATGTGAAATGAGCTGAGGGGAAATTGCACCAGTTATTTCCCAAGTCAGGTAAATGTATAGTTCCTCTACTCGTAATAATCAGCTCTCTAGAAGTTATAAAGGACTTTGATGTTGCTGGTTTAAATCCCTCAACTGGAGAACACCACTCTAAGCTACTATAAGATAGCGTTCAAAGTACAGAACATGAAGGACAAGAACTTCCTTCAGCATTGTGCTGAAGCATTTGGGGAATTGTATCCTTCCTCAGGGCACATAATAAGCTGAGAATAAATAAAACATTTTGTAACCTCTGATTTTACTCATCGCATTTATCCTCTAAATGTAGAAAAAGAGAAATGTTTTCACGTGTGTGTATATACACAAAAGTAATCTTATGCACATAAACTTGCGTGTATGCATGCATGAATATACAACACTTACACATGAAGACCAAAGCTTAATATTTCTCTCTCTGAGATCGACATAACTTGCAAAAATCAGAATTAGAAAAAGCTCTGCCAATTTTCTCCGGACAGCTACAGCCTCAAACTCTTTGCCCTCTTGTCTTCCCGTCATTGCTGCAGATGGAGGAGTTTAAGAGCACTACTCTGGGCCGGGTAACGGTCTACTCTATCCAGGGCTGCCCACACTGTGTGCAGGCTAAAGCCACCCTTGGACGTTTGGGAGTCCCGGTATGTGACGTGGATTTGGGAAGGCACCCACAGCTCAGAGCAAGAGTGAAGGAGCTGACGGGACGCAGCTCGGTCCCTCAGATCTTCTTTAACAACATTCATGTCGGGGGCAACGATGACCTGCAGAAATTGGTGAGAAGGAGTGGAAAACACCTAAAGATACTACTTCCTCACTTGAACTGATTCAAACTTAGTGTCATGTATTTATTCTTTTAACGGGGTAAAAATAAATATAAATATGTGATTGGTCTGCTTCACTCCCTCAGGCTCCTGAGGAGCTTCAAAGGTTGACGAATGTGGTGAAGAAAGAGCCTCTTCCAGCAGATGCTCCACCACTACCAGAGGAGACTCAAGCAGAGGACATGGCCGGGGAGACTGATGGAGGTGAGGGATTTATTCATCCGACACAAACTAGAGAGTTTTTGCTTTTTCCAGATCACTTAATTGCCTTCAAAATGGAGAAACGGAGAATTCTATAATCTGTGCAAGTTTGGTGCCGAAAAAGACTTAATTCTGCAGTCTTTAATGCCTTAACCCTTTCCTAATGCATGGTGTGGTTTTATTATTTACACTGTTTTCCGGGTGGATTTTCTGCTTAATGTTTAGCGATTTGTTTCAGATTGGTTTAGCCTGCTCAACAATGGGTTGTCAACTGAAGGGAAAACTCATGAGGCATCGGCTTTGATGAACTATAACGATAGTTTACAACTAGTGCTGATACGGGCATGGTGGTATGTTCGGGTAACAGCAGATAGTACCTCACCATCTGTGATTATCAAGCTCCCTTCTCTGTAAGCAAGGTCTGTCCAAATGACAGACACAGGCTGTTGTGGAGGAAGATATTAATTCAGTGACAAATACAAAATCTATTACCTCATATTTCATATAATTTAATTTTATTAGTCCTTGCCCCCTCCACAGTCTTGATTATAACTTTTCTGATGCTACATTGGACGTTGTTTCAGCAGCACAGGTGCATTTAAGCCACTATATAGCCCAATGCTAATGTGGTAAACGCACACTAAAAGTTGTCAAGTAAGAGTTGTCTTAAAGACAGTTGAACAGCATTTGAATTATCTTTGACATCCCTTAAACACGTGTGTTCAAATGGAAACTAAATGAATGTTATTTTCTGGTAATCTGTGCTCATGAATTAAACAATCTGTTGCTTGGTCCTTCTTCCTGAGTAGCTATAATTCTTAATTCAGGTGCTTCCTTTTCTACCAACCACATGTTTTTTGCACACATGCTGCCCTGCACATATTCTTTCATACATGCGGGTATGAACACGTGTGTTTGTGTGGCTTGGCACATTCCTGCCCTCACAGAGTTTGTGTGTGAGAGAGATGAGTTTGCAGACCTGGTAGAGGACCTCAAACATGGCAATGTGATTGCCGCTCATAGGAGGGGACTGACAGTGTACAAAAAGAGCTTCTCATGTGATCAACTGGTTGACTGGCTGCAGAGAGAGAAGGGCATGGGTAAGTAAGGCTGCAAGACCTGCAGTGAAGCTTTCAGTGTTTTCAGTGTACAGTCACATCCAGATCTGTCAACTCTTGACTGTGGCCATGTGTGTGCTAGCCAGGGCCGTGGCCTGTAATACTGGCCAAGCACTGTTGCAGAAGAAGTACATGGTCAGTGTCCATGGCGTTGGGCAGCAGGATGGCAGTTTTGGAGAAGGGAAAGACACGCTGTACAGGCTGCTGGAGGATGACCCTCATTCAGCCCTCAACGCAGGACAGACGGCAGCCTGCAGCCCCATCCAGGGTAGGTCAGGTCTGGATCAGGCTTTTGGGACATGCACACATTTCCTTCCAGGTTCATGCTGACTGGTGTCCCCCAATGCTCTCTAACCCCTGTCCTCTCTCTGCTGCTGCCTTGGTGTATGAGGACCCTTCTGGGCTTGCTTGGGTTTGTGTATTACGTCAGTGAGCTTAGTGGTGGGAAGAACTGAAGTAGGACTTAGTGATATATCTGTTATATGGCCTCTGATCAAATAAATAAATAAGAGTAAATCAATCAAACTTTTAGCAACTGAAGAAATAAAGAAAAACGGCCTGAAAATATATATCACTGAAGCCCTGTTTCAAAACCATGTTTTCTTTTCTGCAGGTTTGGTGTCATCTTTTGACCGATTCATTTATTTCTTAAACGTTTCTTGTTCTGTGGTGGTGGTAAGACACATTGCCTGGCTCTGTATTGTGTTTCCACCTGAATGTTGCAGCCCTCTAGAGGCTAACTAACAAGCTAATCCATGCTGTACAACACAGAGGGGATTATAATCTCTGCTTTTCTAAGTGTTGGTGTTATTACGCTTGGCTGTTTTCTCGCTTTCCTCACGGGTAATATTTTCTAATAATATTCTAATTTGTACAGGTTAGCATTTCATGGGTTTATTTCACAGCTACTTTAAATATGCACTTATGTTATAGCGCCCAATTTCAACCCCCAAATTCTGTCCCAGCTCATTGTTAATGTTTTATAATCCGGCTATGAAATGTGTTGATTTTACTTTACACTAAAACATTGAGTTTGTCTTTTAAATCGATCCGATATTTGTCAAGGTTCTGGGGCTCTGCTAACACACATGCTGTTAGCGTTCAGATGTTGGTTAATCTCACCAGTAAATGCTATCGGACTTATCAAACATTAACCATCTCTCTATCTCTTTCTCAGCTGCTGAACTCTCTCTGATCGTACGGGAGTTGATTCTGAAATTGTTCTCTGAGCATCTCTCTGCTGATGGCAAGGTAATGTCCTCATCACCTCACGGCTTCTGACGCAGGGTGTGTTCGTCTGTATGGACGTTTGGTTGTTGACTAAACTAAATGAACAAAATGGGTCTGTGTTGTACTCGTTCCCACAGTCTGTGGACTACAAGGGCATGTCGGCGAACCCTGCCTTTGAGCGTTACTGCGAGCTCGCCGTTCAGCTGCAGAGGGTGGAGCTGCTTTCACTGAGTCGGGAGGAGAAGCTGGCCTTCTTCATCAACATCTACAATGCTTTGGTCATCCATGGGTACCTGCGCCTGGGGGCCCCCACCAACATGTGGCAGAGATACAGAGTAGGCTGCACTAATCCACAGTCCTACATGCCACAGAGTCCCAATAGAGGGTTTTTTTGGTGCTGATTTACATTAACGAACATTATTTTACATACGGATTGAAATATAAAGATATAACATCTGTACTGAGTGGCATGAATAGTTGTGTTGTCTTAAAATATTTCTTTTCCTGTCCCATTTATAGTTCTTCAACTACGTGAGCTACCTGATTGGAGGAGAGGTGTTCACATTGCAGGACATTGAGAATGGAGTTCTGAGAGGGAACAGGAAAGGCGTCGCACAGCTTCTAAGGCCCTTCTCCAAAACAGACCCACGACTACAAGTATTCAGACATTCTGTTAAATCACCGCTGAGCATTTCACTGATTCACCAATGGCACTTTTAATGCGAAATAATAAGTAATGTGATGTTGAATTCCAATTCCCTTGTTGTCCTCTAGGTGGCCCTTCCAGATGCTGAGCCCCTCATTCATTTTGCCTTGAACTGTGGTGCAAAGGGCTGCCCGCCAATTAAAACGTACACCCCACAGGTAAGCAGATTTCATAAATGACTTACGGGGGTATATTGGGTGTCTACAACATATCTGGTGAATGTTAGGAGGTGGAATGGTCCGAAATCACTTCTGATCTACTCAACCCCATCAGGACATTGACAGCCAGCTCCGCACAGCAGCGGAGGCCTTCTTGGAGAACGACGACGCCTGTTTGGTGGATTCTGGGAAAAGAGAAGTGCGACTCAGTCAGATATTCAAGTGGTACAAAGCTGACTTTGGAGGAACTGATGAAAAGGTAGTTTTGACTCCCAATTATTAACCTTGTGGTCTTGTTGGTGATAGAAGTATTCAGATCTTTCACTCAAGTAAAAGTATCAATGCTACGGTTTAAAAATAAAGTATCACCTTCTAATGACCATGAACCTCACCGTGTGTTTTCTCTTCCACCTTCGCTCTCTCGTAGCTGCTGACGTGGGTGGTGGAGCACATGGGGGACTCTCCGAAGAAGACCAGCCTGCAGGGTGTCCTTTCCGCCGGGAAGACCAAAGTCAGCTTCCTCCCTTATGACTGGAGCTCCAACAGTTCCCACTGAGCGTGCACACGCATTCACGTCCAGCTATATGCTATGTCTCTCTGCATCTGACCGCTTTCTACTGAGCTGCTTCTACTTAAAAACCAGGTCGGTGATGATGATGATGATGATCCACTGGTCCTCAACCATGCAAATGGTTTTTATGCAATTCAAACTGTAAATCCAAGTGGGGAGAGGGGCACATTTGCACTGTACCATCGAATCATACTTCTCTTGGAGGCTTATCGTAGCTTTAAGGTCTTGCTGAGCGCACCTAATCCCTATGTTTGGAAGTTGTATACGAGTTTTACATTCAACTTTTATTGGAGAGCCATCATAAATGAAATTGCACACTGAAGCGTTTTGCTGCAGCAGCCAAACTACTAGGATGAGATGCACATTAAGTGTGTTATTGACTTGTAAAATGTCAAAGCCTTAACATTTCCCAACTTATTTCAATTAACGCAGAGCTAACTAATGGCGTTCTTTTATAGTGATTATAAAATCCACGATCTCCAGTCCTAATCTTTCACCACTATGACAACAACTCAGGGGTCCTGGATTGTCGCGGTCGTCATACAACATCCGTTGGGCTGTTTAGCATTTAGTCAGAGCAGTTGGAGAAGGTACAAACACACCGCCTTGACGAGCCATACCGAAACCCTTTGCACTTGCAAACCTGCTCATCCCTGTTTAGCGGGCTCCACAAAGCTAGTCCATCATTTTGAGCTGCAGATGTAAGCAAGCTGATGTTTCCTACAGGGGAAGAAAGTAACAGCTGTTGCAGTTTTAACACTGAATTTAAAGGGAGCATTAGTGGTTCATCCGAAGCCCTGGACAGTAACTACTAAAATCAAAACACAACTTTGCTTACGTCTGTAAAAAAGCCAGATTTAAAGATTGTGAAAGAAGTGTATGATTTTTGGAAGTATGATTGATTTCATCTATGAAGCATCTGTGACCCAGGTATCAAGGTATTTTTCATTTCAAACAACATCCTGTTACGTGCCGCTGCTGTCACTTAGCCTCCAAATCAATAGCCACAGGTTGGACTGGAACTGTATGGTGGTGCAATGGCTATTGGGGGGGGGGGGGGGGGCTGTATCCTCTAGGCCCCCATCTTTGTGTTTAGAGTTCAGACTTTCACTCGTCTGGATGAGTTTTAACTTTGAACTCCTTCCTGTGAAGCTACACGGTTGTTCTCCCCATGTTTTGATCCAAGTCTTCCATTTTCCATTGGAAAAGAGCTACTGGTGTTTTGTAAAAGATATAGGAATATTTATTATAAACATCTTCATCAAATCTATATCCCTGATACTTTGCATGTTTATCACCAAATTTGAATGCTGTTGAGACATATTTGTTCTTCTTTCCCACACAAACAATGTTCGCTGTTGGTCAGTGTCTGCGGGGACTTCAGTAGTCTTGAGTTAAATGTAGCAGTTCATGTGTTGATTAGAGGTTGTAGTTTCTTTGGTGTGTTAAGTGTGTGTGCCTACACACACACACCACACTGTACAGGACCTCCTTCATTTCTTCTTTCGTCACTGAATTTCAACTGAATCAGTTTTCCGTTTTACCTTAAACGTTTGTAAGACTTCCCTTATTGACACAACTCTTCCAGTGTGATGACCACACATCTACTTCATTTAATGACTGTATATGATTATAGTGTTTATTAGTGTGTGGCTTATCTCAGGTCAAAAGAAAATGTGAGTAGAAACAACATTGAGTGGCTTGATGTCATCAATGCACTGTATGATGCATGTTGTTGATCTGCACAGTCCATACTCTTTTGAAAACACATGCACATTACTGTAACTGTCAGTTTGTCCTTTACGCTATAAGCAGCACCACATCATGAGGTTGAATAAGCATGTGTTAAAACTGGAATGCATTTGAATGGCGGCCTGTAGCAGGAGTCGCTGCTTTGTTTCTACCCTCTGAGCTCAGCCATAAGAAGTAGTCGGCCCTCAACACTCATCCTCCCAGTTAAGACAATTCAAAGTGTCAGTTTGACCCGAACATCACCTCCGGCTTAGCTGCAGACGGTGAAAGTGCACCGTCGGCTTTATGACACGTCGTGGGATAAAATGGAGAGAAGAAAAAGGCTTTTGTTTCCCCGACATTGATGATCCCTGTACTTACATTACCTCGTGTATCAGGAACATGTGATGCAAAAAGTTTTTTAAACAAGCAATTCTAATATTCTATTTTCCTCTTTCCTTGGGGTCAATAAAGCAATATGTTTATGAATGCTAAATATGCAATGCTGAACTTAAATAAATATGTCTGCTGCCTCTTTTACTGTATTCTCTCATTGCATGTAATATATATATATATATATATATACACACACAGATACAAAAGGGTTGATCTACAGGAATAATGTGCAACAAATATTAACCAATACCATAATTATCATCGGCAATGACAGACTTTTAGTTTAATTTGTTTATTCAAACACTTTCTTTAACAAAAATAGAGGGAATCATCAATACCTTTACAAATCCAATATTAACATTTGTACATATAAATAAGCAGGTTTAAGTGTGCAGTCCCATAAAAACGCTACATCAAAAAGTTATTAAACAGATCAACCATCTCAAAAGTATATACACAGATATTCTACATGTCGACAGACGTGGTCGTGGAGTTAATCCGAGTAAAAAGAAAACTTGAAATTTAAAGCAATCTGGCACTGTATGACAGATGTATTGTTTATCTTTACCAGACCAAACACTGATTAAGTCTTGGCACAAATGCAACGGTGAATCATTTCCATATTGTAGAGAATGATCGTGTGACAGCATGAAGGCAGATTTATATGTTTCAAGACATTTTGGTCACAGCTTATAAATACGTGATTCCAGAGTTAAACTCAATCCTGCTTTCAACCCCAAACAGCAGCCCACACCAGTTTAGCTGTAAACACCTCTAACGGTTTGAAGACCTGCTGTATGAGATAACGGTACGAGAGACTACACCAGCACATCTCTCCTGTTGTATACATCCTCTCTGCAAAGACCAAAGCTCAGGGATGTGCATGATTCATGAGGAAGACTACATTATTTTAACACACATTGAGCTCATCTTTCCTCCAATCAAAATGACTTTCCACAATATTTCATACAGTTGCAAGGACTGTTTTTAATAAGCTGCATGTGAACGACAAAATTTGGACGGGACTTAGAAATCATACGCTGGAGCCATTTGGCATAATGTTGAACGCCACAGCTGGAAGAACCAGATGTTCAAGAAGTCCCTTTGGGAATGTGAGAGGACACCCTCTGCCACCAGCAAAGCATGAGGAGAAAAAAACCATTCAAAGCCAAAAAATGCCAACCCATCTTTTCCCAAAATACATGATTTAAGACGGTAAAATAAATTGTCCATTAAAGACATTTTGGTGATTGTTTTGTCTATATTCTTACAAATCAGAGGCTTACAATAGATGTAAGACATATTTAACTCCACAAAGAAAACTCGGTGTCAATAGGTCGAATGAAAATACTTATTTCAGTTACATATACCATGTGTTATAACTTAACCACAGTATAGTGAGTCCAGCAAACGTTTGTCATTAAAAAAACCTGTCCTGTGGCCTAACATAGGAATACTGTGATTACGACGTATCTTAAGGCGGTACGTAACAGAGAACGTGTGTCTACGGAGGTTGTCTTCGGCCATAATTCGTTTGTCAGTTCCCAGACATTTTAAATTTGGTGAGAAAACAAAAAATTGTGTTTTTATAACTAGTGTTGATTGAAAAGGCAAATAAATATTAATTCATCATACATAATATATATAAATATATATTCCTCACAGATTTGTTTTACCTTCTTGACTCACCGATGATGTTTCTCTCAATTTAAGTAAGAGACAAAAAAAATCATAAAATACATAATTTTGGCACATATTTCCCCTTTGTTTACAAACTGGTATGTGGTACTGTGTGGGAGTACAAAGAAAGGGTTCCAGTGTTCTGTCATCTAGAATGTCACAGCTCCTCTCAACACTAACCTAAGAAAGAAAAGAAACAAGTTGATTATCCAGTGTTAGAAATATCCACACAATAATGGCTCGAAACACTTTACAATCAGTGCATCAAGTATTGCTTACTGTCGTCGTCTGAATCGAAGCCAAAGAGTGATGAGCAGGTGTTGAGGGCTTGGTGTTTCTGGAACTCTTCCAAAGTGCTGAAAGAGGAAAGACATTTGTCACAGCGATGCCGGCTCTTCTGCACAGAGGCCACGTCATCCGCCGGCTGCTGCTCTTCTGGGACGAGCTCCTTGTTTTTCTTGTTGTTCCAGTAAATATTTTTCCTCGGAGCGACCTCGTCGTTGGACCGCCTCTTGCGCATCGAGAGCCGGGACTCGTCCAGGTAGGTGGACGGCGGCGGCCGGATGAAGGGCGCTTTGACAAAAGTTGCATACGCGGGATCTTCAGGTTTGAAGGATTTGTGCTCGGTTATGTGCGGCTCTCCCAGCGTCTTCTGCACTCCCTCGGCCAAAGTGGACAAATCCTCAAGGTCCCGGACATTCAAGGGGTCCCACACGATCGGCACTCGTTTTCGACAGCTCTTACTTGGAGTTGCTGTAGCAGCACCGGTATGGGACGTCTTCCCCTCTAACAATTTGTGTCTCGTCTCATCCTCATGCCCATTGATGGCGGCTTTGCGGTCGTCTGCGGGCTCATGACCGACTGTGTTCTCTGAACAATTAGGCGGTCTAGACGGGTCCTGATTACTGTCTGGGACATTTACTTTGCAAGGCTGGTCTTGGGTTTTGTTCATTTCTCTGAAACCCTCACGATTAGAGGCCTCGGTGGGATCGGGGGCCGGACTTTCTCTCTGCCCCTTTTTACTCTGAAGCCATATATCTTCAACCTTCACTCTCTGCTTCCACGGAGCTTCTGGGTTTTGCGTCATCTGTCTGCCGGGTCCCACCTCGAGTTCCTCTCTCTGAGGTGCCGGGATGTAGTGTCTCCACTCATGGTCGTAGAGACCTTGAAAGTTTGCGAAAAGCTTCTCACAGTCTGTGACTGAACACTGAGGTCTGAAGGGCTGGTGAGTGTTGACGTGGTCCTTTAAATCCTGCAGCGTCAAGAAGCGCTGGTCACACTCCAGGTGGTAGCAGAAGTGCTGGAGAGCGGTGTCGTGGAGCTTCATGTGGTCCTTGTAGTGCTGGAGGAACTGGATCTGCCTGTTGGAGGAAAGCACAATGAGCCCAATAACAAACTTTCAAAGATGTAGCTTGCAATAAAGAATCTTTAGCAAAAAGGAGTTTGTGATGCCGGATACACTCTTACCTGAGGCATAGGGTGCACTTGTGTTTGGCCCACACAAAGGTCTTCTCCAGCACCTTTTCTTCGCTGATGTGGCATTTAATAGCGTGCTTTGTTAGCGTGGTGCTAATCCTCAAGAATACTCTATCACAGGACTCTGAGGGGCACAAGTGATACGTGTCCACACCGAAGCCATTTACTGCTGCTGGCTTCTCCTCCATCACAGACAGATCTCTTACGACCACCACGCCATCTTTAATGACTACCTGCTCGTCCTTGAATTCGGCCAGCTTGAAGATCTTCGCATCGGGGTTCTTGCACTTTTTGTGAAGCACGGATGTCTTTTTGATGAGTGTGCGGAGGTTCCTGAGGATTCGATCTTCCCTCTTGAGACTCGACACTTTAGGTTTGCCTCCGGGTTTCGGTTCAGAAGTTTCCTCGACGGAAATGGAAGTCGGATTTTCGTTCGGAGGTTTCACATTGTGTACTATTCCATTAGCGGCTGGACTGTCCTCGGTGCACGGCTCCTTATCGGGGGGTTTCTGCTTGCTCATCTCATCGATGTGGTCCAGAATATGCTTTTTGGCAAAGGGGAGCTGTTTAAAGTGTTTTCCACAGAGTATACATTTCAGTTTCCTGCTCTTAAGGTGCGACAGAGCATGCCTCATAACATTCAAGCCTTTATAGTCTTTGTGGCAGAAGTTGCAGTGGTACATCAAGTGGGAGTATTGTTGAGTGCGGAGTACTCGGTCCTTCCACGTTCTCTTGGCTTTCACCTGGAGAAAAGACAACGAACCATTCAACAGAACAAGTCAGCAGAATATCAAATACAATTCGAACGACTGTGTGTACACAATCATTCCACTGCAGTGTAGTGTATTCAAAGCATAATGCATCCAACAAGTAAGACAAGATAAAGATGCATTAATGTGGAATTATGAACGCACATTTTGAAATTCCTGGGAGGTTAATAACAGAAAAAACAACTGACCTCAGTGTTTGACTCCTCTGCTTCCACTGTGGGTTGGGGCTCCTGCCCCGTGCCGCCATTCACCTCATCTTGTGCCAGGGATTCTGGTGTCTCACCGTCGGGCTTTTTGGATTTGAGAGAGTAGCTGTGCAGCACTTCTATCGGACAATCCAATAACTCTAAGGGTGGACCATCGAGCTCAGGATCAGCTTCGACGGAAGGAACAGCAGCTCGGCGGTCACAGAACTGTGGTTGAGATTCCTTTTGGGTTTGTTCATCGAGACCGCTACCGGAGACCAAGTCGGGATGTTTCTCAAGTTCACTTTCCCTCTCGAGATTATCCATCTGCTCAAATTGGTTCTCTTTCTGTTCACTCTTTTGTTCAAGTTCGTTCTCCAGGTGAGGCATGTCCGGCTCTCTGTCTTCTGTGTCGGTTATCTCCTCAAAACCAGACTCTTCCTCGGTGAGGGGTATCTCGTTTTCAGGGTAGGAGAGTTCCAGTTTCTGTGAAGGCTTCCGTCCCCGTTTCTTCCCTTTACCCTTGACCTTCTTCTCTTTAACTGTGACCTTCTTCTTTTTGACTGTCTGCACCTGCTCCAGCCTCGGGAGACCCTGCAACCATCTTTTCTTCCGACCCTTCCGTTTCAGAATTTGGCTCTTCACACATCTAGACAAGTATTCCCTCTTGCGGTTTAGCGGGGCTTTTACGATAGCTGCATTTTCAATGTTAACGTGAATGCGTCTTAGTGAGTACACAGGCTTGTTGCCATAGGAGGATTTGAGATTGTATTTGAACTCTGGATCGTCGCCGCGGTCGGCCTCGTCGTCAGACATGGATTGCTTTCTCCTTCGTAGGCTTTTCCTCCATTTCCTCCTCTTCAGAAGAGGGTTTTTTGATGGGGCGACACACTTTTCAGTCTCTCCCTCCACAGCGCGCTGGCAGGAATTCAAACTTTGAGTGCTTGAGTCATTTACACACGTATTTATCAACAGCTCTTTGCTGTTTTCCTTCTCCTCCTCTTCCTCCTCCATCTCACTGAGAACAGCAGCCTTCATGACCTTGTCACTCATCAACCCCAAGCAGTGGGTCCGGAGGGTCAAGAGGTTCCAGAACTCCGGGTCAAAACACAGGCGCTCCTTGAGCATCTAGAAAACAAAGATAGAGAAATCTTAGGCATAAATGAGAACGCCAATACATCCAATACGTCATTACATCAGATCACATGCCCCCCCCCCCCCCCCCCCCCTCTCCACCACCTCTGACCTGCAGAATATGGAAGCGAACGTTGGTTCGGACGGGGCTGTTGTGGAGGTGCGGCTCCTGGTCAGGGTGCATGTAAAGCAGGCAGACGGTTCGGTAAGCGTCCAGGGTGCGTTCCAGGCAGAAGACCAGCAGGGCACACGCTCGACAGATCTCCAGGTCATGAGGCAGCAGGAAGGCGATGGTCTTGCAGACGAGGGACCGGGTGACACTGTCGGCCTGCATGTCACCCAGCTGCAAGGCCCTGGCACAAAGCTCCACACAGACCTGGACTCCTTCAACCCCCAGCTGGCCAAAAACAAACAAAGTGGTTAAAACAAGGGAAAATGGTAGATAGGAGAAGCTTATTAGGGTCAAGATGAAAAAAAAAAAAAAAAAAAGTTTAGTTTGACTCGATGACACAAAAACGGAAGCCGTGTATTTCCAGCAGCTAAATATATCATTCGTCCTGAGAAACACGTCATGGAAAAAGAAGATGCTGTGACTTCGGTCGCACCTCTGTGGTGACCAGTTTGATGAAGGGGAAGATGGCTCTGACGTTAGTAGCAGAAGAAGCCAACTGCAAGCACTCGGCCAGGAAACCATGTCTGGAGGGATGGGCCCTGAGATGCAACCTGCTCCAGATGAACACCAGGTCCCTGCAAGAGGCAGCGGAGAACAAGCCAAAGACGTCACTCATACGTTTTGATTACAAGTTAACAGAGGGGGTACTAAACTAAATCAAAAATACAAAACTGTGCATCCAGACAAAAGCTCCCCTCACTACAAGATTGACCACACACATATTGTGCAAACACTGGGTAAATTACATGACCTATAAGTAACATCAGCTGTGAACACTGAGGAGGAAAGTCCGATGGTGTATTCGTGTGACGTACATGTCTGACAGTCATTCTTACCAGATGTAGTACATGTCTCCATTGTGTAGCTGCTGGGTGAGGAAAGCTTTACACAGCGACAACAGAAGCTCATCTTTTTCAACGCTCTCCGTGTTGCAGATGATCTCCACCGCATCACGCCCATCTATCTCTGCCATCTGTGGAAGAAGATATGTAGAGTCACATACATGCATAAAAATATACTACAAATACGAAATAAATCAAAATGCATTACAATCTAGAAGGTATACCAGGAATACAAGAACCATCTGATCAGTTGGGTGCTCGTTATTACAGCTTCCATTCACGTAATTCATACAGCTGACAATCTTCAGAACAGCATCTTAATAATGACTCACGTTGTAATGATATATTCATCTATAAAGCCCCACGATGCCTCACATCCTTGTCTCTTACCTCCTTGTGAAAGTGCTCATGCAGTGAGGCCTTGTAGAGGCACGTCAGATAGGCCTGATGGAAGTACAGATGCTTTCCAGCCTCGCGATTTTCCAGGCAGCTTTTAGCCAGGGCCATTGCCTCTTGCATCCGGTCACAGGCTCGCAGATAGCGAATCCGCAGCTCGAAGAACACTGGCAACTCTGAGCTTAAGTAGTCCTCAACTGCATGGGGGGGGGGGGGGGGGGGGGGGGGGGGTTACATGAGTTACTATACATGATACAAGGGTATTTACATACAGGTGTTGACTAGGGTAATGCCGATTAATAACACTGATGTTGGGGTCATGACAATTCTTCACTGGCCCTTCGGTTTTGTTGTTCTCTGATATGATAGTGAAGGGATTGATGGGTTGTAAAATCTTAAGCAACATTTTCAGAAACAGCGTATATTCAGCTACTAGTTTTGCTGAAATATTTTGTAATTTGAAATACATTTTTAGGAGAAACTGGACAAAGCATTAAGATGTACTGTACATTTTTACCAAATACTGTAAATGACACATCTTTTGGCCAGACAGACTAGGCAGCCTGCAGGACAAATTCTGTTGAACAAGTCCATAAAAAAACGCAGCAGCTGCACTCCATTTGTGTGTGATGGTACGATAGTGAGAAGTGAATGATAGACAGGAAGGCAAGTCTGTGTCACACTCCCCATCAATCAGCACTGCTGCTCCACAAAGCTGTGTGAGCTCACTTCTCCTCTTCTACCTTTCTGTTAAACTGATTATGTTGGCTGCTGACACAACTTCAGAGGGTCCAATCAATAGCAAGTCTGGTCACAAGAGTGGGGTGACCCAATTGAGAATGAAGTATGAAGTAAGCCCAGAAAAGATGTGGCCATGAGCCTACCTTCTTTCAATGGTAAGTCCGCCTCTTTCAGGATTCCTTGCAGCACTAGATTCTCCCACGGGCCTCCTGCTTTGATGATCAGCTTCACATGCTGAAGGTAGATGTTCCTGTGCCTCAGGAGCTGAGAGTGGCACTCCTGCAAAGAGCAGTAAAAAAAAAAAAAAAAAAAAAAAAAAAAAAAAAAAAAAAAAAAAAAAGTGAGATGACCAATCACAAAAATGACTTTTAGGATATGTTGGTTGATAATTACATACTAGATATGGATAGAGCAGCAGTAGCAAACACACAGGTAGTTGTTATTTTGATAAAACATTGGGGTAACACTGGCTGTTGGCTGGGTGCTGGTAACTTTTAGTGAACACTCACAACTGGTACGGCAGCTGGGTGTAATGAAAGTGTGAATAAGAAAACTGAGGATTGAAACGGTGCGTCACCTGAAAGGAATCGAGAATGTCTTTTAAAGGCTCTTCCACAAATTCTTCCTTGCTGAAAAACAGCATCAGTTCAAAAAAGCTCCTGCAAGACAAAGAGAGGAACATTAGTTCGCCAAAAAACATCCAACAATAAGTATATCTTAATCTGTACAAACCCTTAGCAGTCCTTTTCTATACAGGTGCTATCAAAGAGTAAATAATGACCAATACGTTGCAGCTAAACCAAGCAAAAAGCGTTTTAACTGTAGCTCTACTGGTTTGCAAACATGGGCAGAAAAGATAACATTCGTGTGCTATTGCTGTGGGACAGTGTACCTAAAATGGTTAGCTCCAGTATTTCTCGAAACAACAAGAAAACAAGGCTGCCATGTTCACTGCGGTCTGGCATATGGTTGAGTTTTAGATTACCAGTATGCATATCCAACGTGTAGGCTAAGAATTCCTCTGTAAAACTCATATCATGGGCTTTACTTGGCCCTCTAAACGTCAACAAACAATGTCTCCCATTACATGTAACAGAGTACTTACAAGGCCATACTGCTGAGGACATAGTGGATGTGCTGACAGTCATCAGGGAAGGCCACGGTGGCTTTGGTGAAACTGCAGAGTGCGGTCCGCAGCACCTTCAGCTGAGGGAGAGGAACTTGCCAATGCCCCGTGTACTCCTCCACCAACTGTGCAGGAAGAACACAGACACGGAGAAACATGAAATACATTTCCATTGACAACCAGTTTGTTTTTTTTAGCACTAAAGCACACCGAATAAATAGCTGCCTTCAAAATATTAAAAGTTAAAAGTAATTTCGGGACATTTGTATGCAGTGTGCATAAACTGTAGATAATCATGTGGGTGGTACATCAAGCGTACCTACCTAATAACAATAAAAAGGTAGAAATGTTAAATCGACAGGACCAATCATGGTGTTCAAGGATGGAAATGCAACACTGTGTTTGTACTGAGGTAGTACAGTTATTCAAAATCATTGTATGTTGTAACATTGTTACAATAATTCCTGTGCACAACATGACACAAACTAGCACTTACACAACACTGCCTCAAACAGAGAGTGTAATCAGTGTTTGACAATTGCAGAGCTTTGTTGGTTAAACTGCAGTGTCTAATGTTTTAGAGTTCACTTATCATGCTTTAACTCCCACATCGAGGGAAGGTGGGACGAACTATGATTGTGGAGAGTGTAGTAATTTAGATGGAATACGGGAATAGATAACTAGCTTAAGTTATATCTTATAAACAAGGCTGATATCACACTGATGCAAGACTTCAGCATACAATGATTTCACAGTCTTGTGGTTTACAGAAAGTTTTAATAATAACCAACAGTTAAGCTAAATACAGCTTGTTAGTAGACCTATGTTAACTTCATACCGTTAACAAGCTTAACTTTACTGCCTTAAGTTAACGTTAGCTACAAAGCTAACTAGCTAAGCTATATCATACATCGGATAGGCCTATTTTGAGGAACTCGGGTAGCCTACTACATCAAGTTACCTAGCCAGGAGTACAGTTTATACCTCTCTTAATTTTATTAATCATTCATGTTGTGTTTAAGACGGGCTATGCCACAGTCGTAGCTTCACAATGACGCCAAACATAACGCTACATGGTCTGGGGACTAACGTTAGCTAGCAAAGCTAGTAGCGTTAGCAATAAACAGACGGCGACTATGGAGACCGTTTTACAAAATAGAGACTAGCATACCTCACAGAACTCAGAGCAATAGCCTTTGCTCTTCAGAGACGACTCGTTGCTGCAATGTCTATCGCACAACGTGTCCAGGGCTAATTCTAGCCCGTCTGTTTCCAAATCACTTTCGCTGTCCGCCATACTGTCTGCTGTATCCAGCGCATAGTCAATGTTGCCAGGTGTGAAAGCTAGCGTCCTCGTATCCCCCGCGATAAAATAAAACCAACCTGGCAACCCCGCAATTACAGCAATCATCAAGATTGATGAGACTACACCATTGTGCAAACTTGAGTTCATTTTTATTCACAAGATGGCAGTTACATTTTTTAGAACAAATGGTTGATATTAATTGACTAATACGCATACGTTTGGTCTGTGAGAGTACTCTTACACAGATCAGATTAGTAGGCTATTGTCATATTGATTATTAAGGAAAGTCTTTCCAGTAGAATTTACAAGCAGGCATTTTGGAGTTTTACAAAGATACTAACATTTTGCTAACTTTTAAAAATAAATAGTTAGTCAATTACACGTTCAAGTGAAAGGTGTACAGCAAATTTGGCAAAACTTGAACAAACTATATAGAGAGGAAAGTTTGACTTTTGCATATTGATCTTCTGTGAAAGAGGGTTTTCAAAGCTCTCTCTAATGAGTCATTTTTTTAAATGTCTCTAAAATGTATGTCAATTAAAATATTACTGGTAACAAAACATCAGAAAAGAGCATTGCCTCAAATACCTATAACATTACACTACAGTACATGTAATGTATTGTAGTGTAATTTGCCTTACAGGAGAAAGAGAGAATGCGCTGACTTGTGCTGAAAGTAGTAATTCACATGTTCCAGTGAACACAGTGCAATACACAAGAACGGGAAGCCTGTTTTCGTCGTTGTTGCTCGTGACGCACACTGGTTGTAAGCTTTTCCAGAACGTGGTGCCTTGATGAAGGAGGGATCATTTTCTTCCCTCATTTTCAAAATAGACAACAGCATTCGGACATGATGGTTACAAGGTTGATAAGATAGAGGTAAAAGAAGAGGCTTTGATGGGAATTGCTGGGTAAACCCATATGGGCTAAAGTGAATTCAGGCATTTAGTTTCTGATTGTATGTCCTCTTTTAGAATATTTTTTTCTGTGACACATGAATGCAGATTTTTTTCATTACTTTTATTTATTTAATTAATGAGGCCAAATAAACGATTCCATATTTCCAGATCCATGAATGTCTGTGTTGAAGCCATAGGTTGAAGCTGTGAAAGACAGTGATGCAGTTCATCACAGCCAACTGGGAAGTCCGCAGTCTTTCTGACAGCCACAAGGGGGCGTCATCATATCAGAATATGGAAAATATCTTTAAATATTTAACAGTCGGCAGACTGAAATGTGGGGTTGCAGTATATCCTATTAATGTTCATTTACACATACAGCTTATCAGTGAGTTATCATGCATGTTATAACTGCTATCAATCTCTCCATACACACACTACTCATAGCACTCACGTACCAAACCTTCACTCAGGGAAATGATCAGTAACTCAGAGAAGAACATCATTCATATGTGGGCTGTTTATTATTGATTATTGAAACAGTGAGAGACAAAGACAGAAACAGTATACAAATACTGTTAATATTGTCAGATGTACAGTATGTGCATGTATGACACACTTTATCGCTCTGGCATACAGTACACCCTCACACATGACTCATCCACAATATTTCCATCAACATATCGTGCACCCTCTTGGAGGCAGTAAAGAAATAGTAGTTCTATTCCAAGTACTTGAGTGGGATTCATGCAATGAGGATTTCTGCACTGGTGGTTCTTTAATTCATTGACCTAATGGTGGCTATGGCGTGGGAGTCAGATGGGGTGGGGTGTTTAATGGCTCCAGGACATATGAACAAATATCCCAAGAAATAACTTAAACTAACATAAAGGTTGTGTAAAACATCAATTACAGTGGCAGTGTCTTATGGAACATGTAACCCCAATAAGCCCTCTCCAAAAATGAATCTGTTGTACTGAAAGTTGAGACAGGTTCCATTGTTATATTGGCCCCAAGTATTCTTTCTTTTATAATTCAGAATGCGTTATTAATGGTATGATTTGGTCCAAGATCATAAAGCATTTTATTCACATTGAAGGCATTCTTAGCTGTTAATCCTAAACATTTAAAACATGATAAATTATGTTGAAAGGCAGTCAATAACTTTGCGCTTTCAGATTGTCAAATGGATTAAGACAGTATCGTTGCCATTACCTGACAGAAAGCTTTAACAATCTACAAATATATAACTCATATTTGTTGGAGGGTTTCGCTCAATACATATCACATTCAACAACAATTTCTGTTCACAATCACTGCGACAGTCAGTCAGATAAAAGTCACCCTCTATAACGCCATGGCCACAGGAAATCACAACTTGGTATGCTGTGGAATTGTACACATGTTAGCCAGCAGCTTGGACTAGATAAAAGGGAGGTCATTAGATGGAAAATCCTTAATGGTCAGCTATTTCAAGGCCCTTTAATGGGGTTGATCAGTAATGTTCAGAACCCAGGCCTCAAAAAGGTCAGCAATGGCCCATTTTCTAAAAACCAATATGTCAGTGTCCTTTCAAACGCACCAATTAACATCAAGGGAATCTCAGGCTGTTCTATTAATAGCAGGACTTGGATTTCAAAGTGGAACTTTGCTGCAAAGCTCGTTGCTCTGCTCCTGCTATTTAGGCTGTTGGAGTTCCTGGTGGAGCATCTGGAAATGGTTGTCAATCATTATTGTCTCTCAGGCACATTCAGTCAGCATTCAGTCAGTTACCCCCAGTCTTTAGTTTGTCCCCTCCTGGTTACACGTGTTGTAAAGTATGGGTTATGATTGTGCGTAATTGATCCATCAGAGGTAATTACTGCACCTAACGAGTCTTTGGAAAGCTTTTTTGAAGTCTTCATTAAAGATGGTGTAGATGAGGGGGTTGATCAGCGAGTTTAGGTAGCCCAACCATGTCAGAAAGTCAGCCATCTCCATCGAAGTACTGCAAGAACCGCAGGTGTTGACAATCACTTCCTTGACAAAAAATGGCAACCAACAGATGACAAAGGCCCCTATTATTAACCCCAACATTGATGCCGCTTTGCGCTCCCGTGAGCCCGAGATCCGTGGTCCTTGGTAAAACTGACTCCTACGTGATTCACTCCGTGACTCACTCCGTGACTCACTACGTGACTCGTTCCGGCGCGACTTGCACTGGAAAACCTTTACCGATGCACGCACCCGTTCACGTGGCGGTTCCTCAGTTGAGGGTTCAGAGAAAGACTTTTCTGGTGGACTTATTGGCTCCGGACTTCGAGGTCCACCATCGTCGGCGCCTTCTCCAGCAGGGTAGGATGACGGGATCATGCTCCCATTGGTCATACATGAGTGACGGCTTGCCCGGCTGGCTTCCCTGCGCATATACAGGGTCTGAGCAGCACGGTAGATTTTGTAGTAGAGGATGAGGATGAGCATCAGGGGGATGTAGAACGCTCCAAGTGTGGAGTACAAGGTGAAGGTTATGTGATGGTGCATCATGATGCACTGGTCTTCCTGCTCTGAATCCCCACTGTAGTGCCGCCAGATTAGAGGAGGAAGTGAGATGAGGATGGACAAGAGCCACACCACTGCCACCATCGCCCCAGCCCTGGCCCCTGTGCGTTTGCGAGAGTACTCCACTGCATCAGTAATGGCTCTGTAACGGTCGATGGCGATTGCAGCAAGGTGCAGGATGGAGCATGTGCAACAGGTGATATCCACACTCAACCAGATGGTACACACCACCTGGCCCATGAGCCAGGTTTCTTTCTGGATGTACATAATACTGAAGGGCATGACCAGCACAGCCACCAGCAGGTCAGTCACTGCTAATGAGCAGATGAGGTAGTTGGCCGGGTGGTGCAACTTGCGCGTGACTGCGATAGCTGTGATCACCAGGCAGTTGAAGAATGTAGTCAGGATAGCCAGTACAGACAGGGTCATTGTGAGCGGGATCTTACTGGGAGGGAGTTTAGTGGTCTCCAGTGAGTCATTACCACTGCAGCTTGTGGCAAACACCCCTTCAGTGCAATTGGGGAAATCCATTCTGCAAGCAGAATGGACAGGGAGTTGTACATTAGACATAACTGGAGATTAGGGACACTTCATTTTCAAAAAATAATCTTTTTTTTGATTGCTGTGTATATTATTTTGTTGGTCATCTTGCTGGCGTGGAATTTAATCAGCCAGTCAGCATTTTAGCACAATAAAATGATAAAATTGTGCTATTATTCCTACATCTTCTTCTTTCAAACAGTCACAGACAATGATTTTGCTTTCTGCACTTCAAATACAAAACATGCCAAGGCTGATAAAATGAAAGTTTTCATTCAAAAGGTGCTTGAAAGATAATGGACTTTAAGGACTGCGTCCAAGGTCTCGAAACCTTAAATGGTTGTAAATGCTTTGACATTTTTATATTTTACCTTGTCCACTCCTACCTGTCTAGGCTCTAACGTGTTGCATCCAGCTGGTTCAGTGTGCAGCAGACCGTCGGCTCGGTTCTGTCCTGCCTGCTAGCTCTGCCATCACATCACCTCTGTCACTCATCAACACCTGGGAGAGAGAGAGGGAACAAAAGAGAGCTATTGAAGACGGTACAACGGCAAAGTAAAGAAACAGCCAAGGACGCGTACACCTACACAGCAGATACAGTGAATGGTTTCTTAGAAACTAATGTTTGCATGTCTGTTTCAATTCAAATGAACTTGATTCTTGAGGACAGCTTTCTGGAACATTGGATCTTATTATGAGCTGAAGTAAGTATTCACATGATGTGACACCTGCTCTTCCAATTCGGGTCAGTCTAACATAGCTCATTGGCTTGCTCATTGATATGATTATCCTGAGTTTAACAATAACAATTAATGTTGTTTCACAGGCCTTTCAAACTCCAAAAGATTCAAAATTGGTGGATAACTTTTCTTGGAATTGTTGGCATGTGAACATACTGACACTTAAAGACATACAACATCAGACAGAAATATTCTGTGTTGCCTGTTGCAATCCACAAATACCCCTCTCTGTATATTGGGCATATTTGTATATTTGTCTACCATTAATTTACCAACAGCCTCTATGATTAAATCAATATACTCAGGTATGATTGTCATTGCAGCTCTCCTTCACTCTCCGCATTGCACGGTACCCCGAAGACATGAGTGGGAACTGTTGCTATAGAAACAACAAGTAGTACAGTACTTTTACTTCATTTGGCGATGGAGCAAAGGCAGCCAAACTCTTGACTCCCAGGTCTCTGCGGAGACTGTTCGATTCTCAGAGTGGGTCCACTGGGGGGTGGGTGGATGAGTGGTGTGGCAAAGGTACATGACAACTGAATGAGATAAGAGATTTCAGTTCACTTAACCTTAACACATGGCAAAGTGCCAGGTAAAACAATTCACCGTGAAAACTTCTTGTCAAAAAGGGTTCCATAGAGCCAAAGATATCTTTTTTACTGTTGGACCATTATAGATAAACTTGTACAATATACTACCCTTACTACCAAGTAGCATCAGATGCAGGTGAAATTGTGGCATAATTAAAATATTGAGCACATTAAACAGTGTAAATGTGAAGTGGTGCAGAGGCATATGATGAGTATTGTTTCACTACTTCATTCAAGGTGTGGGCACTGCCATCCCTCAGCCAGCCTGAGTCACCTTGGTGCTCTTTGCTTAGTGTGGTGGTTTTATTGTATAATAAACTACAGATTATAAAGCATAAAGACACAAAGAACCTTTAGATTGTTAAAGAGCATTATGGTACCGTCTTTATACGTTTACTACAAATTATGTTTACTTAGTATTTTTCTCTGCACACACAATTTGTCTGCTTTTCCAGCTCACCATTAACAGTGTCGGAGCTAGTTTTGAAAACAGCAGCTCTGACCTGTTAGCAAATGTTTTCTAATAGATTTTCAGGGTCGGCGCAAGAAAATGACTTTCTTAAGTGCAGTTTCAGCAAACTCTTTCATAAAGCTCTTTGCTGAGAAGAGTCAGGCACAGTTCATTATGCTACTTTGGCTGCAAAATAAAAAATACAAATGCTTTCACAGATATTCTAAGGCGAATTTCTTTGCTGTGGCATGTTTGTTTCTTTACACCTGTGATTTGAGTCTTTTAAGACAATAAAATTGTCTTGGTCTGTGTTATGTTGCAATTATACTCTCCTTCCCGTTCACCCTTGAATGAATTTAGAAGAAAACCGACAGAGTACTTTGCTCAGATAGGTATGATGATAATTACTGCTGCACTTTTGTTGCACTCTGTCACTGTGTATCTGAAAATAGCTTTTAATTTGTGCACAAGCATATATTTTATACAGTATGGGCAAAGTGGACGTGTATTTAAGAGTGCGCCTGAGCATGCACGCATGTGCGATGATTGATAGCATGCGTTAACAGTGTCAGCCTGTCATTATGTGCACAAAGACAATCATCTGCTTTTGTCTCAAAATGTTCAAAAACACAGGCTTTCTGTTCAAGGCCATCTGAAGATAAGCTCCAGTGAGCCAGAGTGAGTCTGCTCTCTGCTTTATTCAGAACAAAACCCAGTGCCCTTGCATGAATTCAGCAAACAGGGAACACAGCTTAATTCACTGACTGATGGCCACATTGTATTGAAATTATAGAGTAGCTTTCAAATTAGTTTTTCCCTGGAGGTAGTACAGTATATTATTTTCTCCATTAATTATCTACCCATTATGGAGAGGTTGATAAAAGATAAGAAACAGCACACCCTGATACTGTTCAGTAACTTTTAGGCTCCGTGATCTGCGATATCAGCAGATTTATCAAATAACTGTCTGCATTTTTACAAAAAAAAAAGAGTTGTTTATTATGTAGCTACACACATATAATATGAGAATGCTTCTGCAGTCTGCAAGTAACATAATCAGGTTGTGCAGATAACAAGGATGCTGACAAAGCAGAAGCATGTTGAAAATATTCCCTCCACATTCAGTGACGAAGATATAGAGATTAGTTTAATCCACTCTCATCCAGTTTCTCTCACTCCCAGCTCAAACACATACAGTATGCAAGCACCCTTAAGTAATACTGTAAACAAACACAGATACACTGTACAAACACCATCTTCACTCTAATTTCAAAAGGTTTTGCAGTCACCAAAACGAATGTCAATCCTCTGACATTGAACAGGGAAGCTGCATCCGTCACGTGGCGTACAATCTCTGAAACACAAACAGTTTGGCCCAGGCAGGACATGAAGCTGCCAAGTGTTGTTGTGAAGGAGGAGAGTTGTGAAAAGCTGACTGACAGCTCTGGAAAGATGCAAATACAGTAGATGACTGACTGCAACTCTGATTAATTTGCTGGTCCGTCTCTTCATCTCGTTTCATCTGCTTTATCTATTTAATTTGGTGGTGGAGGTTAATGGCAAAGTTGGCAAGAAGTGTTACTGTTAAGAGATCCCTCTAATGAGATTAAATAGTTTTTATTTTCTCTTAAACTGAAAGTGGAAAGAAATGTCATACATCAGTGAAAGTAAAGATGAATTATTAAAAAACACAAAAAATAGTGACCACTGTTTGGGATTATGACAAGTGACTAAAAGACAATAAATATGCTAATTGTATACTCGTTCCTGTGTTTCACAAAAGGGCCGATATCATTCATTCCAATTACCCTGAATGGGCTAAACTGCTGCCATGTCCACTCTGCAGCAGCCACTGTTCTCACTCATTGAACTGTGTTCTCGTTTCAAGCCTGAGTGGATCACCTCATGCATGTCACAGCTGGTGTTTCACTGCACAAGCAGATAGCTCCATGCTGATAGAAGTAGCTGAATTGAATGGAACTGGTTCAAGCGCTCACCATAACCAAATGGGACAGAGACGCTGGATCTTTTATTTTCGTTTTCATGATGCTCAACTACATGCATTTTAATGTTGTGTACAGTATATACGGATGGAGGTGATAATAGCTCACATAAAGTAAATTATTTTGCCGGTGTCAGCGTCTGAGTTGTGCTAACCAGCTTTAATTGCTATAGATGATTGATATGTACGCTGCACACAGGTTTTCATATTTACCTATTTACCATCGCTTTCAGTGAATGATATCGTTTTAAGACTCATCAGTGCATCAAATCAAAGGCTAGTTTTAACTAATCCTTTGCATTGTGTGCTGTGCTGTGTGTGGTATTTAACTGTAAAGAATCCTTAAATCATAAGCATCATCAGTGCATGTGCACTGGAGGCCTTTAGTTAGATATTGGACCGTGACCATGCTTGTGCATACACGTCTTACACTCATATTAAAGTGAGAATCATTTCTTCTAATGTCAAAGTCTGCACATACATCATTCTGCACAGTGAAACATCCAAGTGAGGAAACAATTAGGAAAACATATTTTTGAGTAGAGAGGGACTTAGCTGAAACTTTGAATTATCTATCAGTATATAGTGCTGGAAAGGATCCATTGGTTCTTCTTGTCTAACATCTGTTGGTCTGCACATCTGGTCTGCACCAACACTCAATATTAGACATGAAAGAGCTTTTAAGATGGAAGCTCCTTGGAATTTACTGCAGTATAGACTTGAACTTCACTATTGTGCACTTTTGGGCTGAGGCTGATATACAGTGATACATTAGCTTGAACTGTCTCATTTAAAGCCACATACTGTACAAGGCAGCCATTACAAATATCTATACCATGAATGACTGATCGGCCGTAAAATACAGCTTATGTACAGAAACTATAATCATGTCTCAGTGCTTTGCTGCTGTCAGATCATGTGTGTTTATATATGGAGGGAAAGAAGATAAAAAAGCACATTTATGGAGGAGCTTGAATGCTGGAAAGTCAAGAGATGTATTATTAATTATTATTTTGAGCTTATGTCACATGAATTTCTCCTTTAAAGTCAAATTTCTCCTTTAAAGCCGACACTCTGTCAAAGCACTTCCATGTAGATGCAAAATATGATGGCAGAATTGACCCCTTTCTTGTATCACTATAATCAATAATATATACTTTAGTACCAGTAACACAATGAGCACTGAAAAGGCCTGTATCGCACTGCAAAGACAACTGAGATTGATTTTTTCTTTCATTCAGTAATGAGGACAGGATTAACTTTAAATATGTATAGTAATACCTTTACAAAGTAACTTCCCCAACACAGCTTAACATGTTAGTGAATTCACTGCCAGGCACATAGACTTTAGCATGTAGTAGGCCTACAGCAATTAGATAATGTGAAAAAAATCACTCTGATTAGATATTCTCTCTAATTATAAGAAAAATAATCCGCTAAAGCCTTTATCTAGTGAGCAGTGAATTAGAAACATTCTAAAACCACTACACATATTTTGATCCACAATAACAAAACTAGTTGTTGTAATAGTTCGACTAGCAAAATGTGCAAAAATCTGTCTGTACTACTGAGTTTAAAATCAACGGCTAATTGTTACTGGTGTCTGTCATTAACTGTGTCTTTTAGACTCCATAAAGGCACTCCCTTTCAGCCGATTGAGTCTCTTTGAAGTCAGCATGTGCACTGGACACACACAGTTGCATGGAAGTTACTTT